AGTAACAGTATTTCCTGACTAGCTGTTTTGTGAGGACAATTCCCCAGTGTCCCCTGTGAAGTATGCTTGGGATCTTCAGCCTTAAGTTAATCGGAATGACAACCCTCACTTGCAAAAGGCCCCGGCTTCCAAAAGCAGGACCCCTGCTCTAACTTTCAGCCTCTCCCTGAACATCCAAAATGGGTTAGAATCCAGGATATAGGTGTTGTTTTTTTTACCTGACCCTTGATGCTTGCCAGTTGCGTGTCACGGTCAGTCTGTGCCGCTATCGCCCGCTTGTCCATGGGAAAACGAAGGACTAGCATTTCTTGAAGCTGATCAAGCTGCAGACTTCTCGTTCTAAATACAATAATTGTAGCCCGACAGGAACAGATACCACCTTTGCAGCTTTCGTAGTGTAGTTTCAGGAATTTTATTTGCTGGATGAAATAATTCTACTAGAGATTTGTGATCCGTAACTATCAAAAACCTGTTCCCATTTAGATACTCGTAAAATTTACGCACTGAAAATTGACAGAGCCTCTTTCTCAACTTGGGCGTACATACGCTGATGAACATTGAGCGTTTTTGACGTAAATGGAATAGGGTGATCCTGCCCCGAATCATCCTTTTGTAACATAACGACTCCTAAGCCATAGTCAGATGCGTCTGTCGCCAGGATGAGTGTCTTGATTGGGTCAAAATGCCTAAACTTGACTGCCTCCACCAGTGCCTTTTTTAGTTTCTTGAAAGTTGCGTTACAGGCTGGCGTCCACAAAAATTTTGTGCCTTTTCTACGTAGGGTGTTGAGTGGGGTTGCTACCTCCGAAAAATCCTGAATGAATTTGGCGCAATAATTTGCCTTATCTAGAAAAATTTGCAATTGTTTAATGTCTCTAGGTGAAGGCAAATTAGCAATGGCCTCTAGATTGGCTTGTGTAGGCCTAATGCCCTCTTTATCAATCATATGTCCGAGGGAGGTTATGCAATGCTTAAATAATTCACACTTTTTTAATTTTGCTATTAACCCTTCCACTTGAAGCCTTCCTAACAACGTCCTTAGATCCAAAGATTTTGTATGTGATCCTCATTCGTTATACCGTTAGTACTATACAATCAAGGAAGTTCATACTACAAGGCACTTCCGCTATCAGTTATTCCAGATATCTTTGAAGTATTGGTGCTGCCGAAGCCACTCTGAACGGCAATCTTTCACACTGGAAAAGACACAGGGGCGTATTTTATCCTTTAGATCTATTTTTGAAAAATACTTACCCCCGGCTAATTTCTGGAATAGTTCCTCTGGTTGGGGAATGGGATATTTCTCATTCTCCAGTTGAGCATTCAGCGTGGACTAAATCTCCGCACAAACGAATAGTTCCCTCCGCTTTCTTTACCACCACTAGTGGTGTTTTTACCGGTGTTAAAACTACGATTTCGTAGCCTTACCAACTCCTTCACATGCTCTCTCAAGGCTAGTGAAACGGGCCGCGCCTTGTAATACCGAGGAACTGATCCATCCTTCAGCTGTATGTGGGCCTCCAAATCTCTGGCCTTTCCCAGGCGATCCTGGAACAGGTTCTTGAAGTATTCGCCTAAAACGTCGATATCATCAATAGGCACACTCTCAGACACTAAATTTACCTGGTCCTCGATATTGAACTGGAAAACTCGAAAAAAAATCCATTTCCATTACATTGCTTGTGCCTTCTCTATTCACCACTGTAATAGTCCTTCCCCAGCGCACTACCTTGTAACAAATCACCGCCCAAAAAAATCTTTAACATCAATTTTGTCTTTGCCGAAAGGACACACGTTTAATCTAGATCTACTGCACTGCGGTGCCCCCAACCTTTAGTATGTTCGTAAGTTAATCAAGGTAACCAGTGAACCAGTATCTACTTGGAAGTTGATCTTCCCTGCTACCTCTAGACCCACGAACACTTTGATTTCGTGTCCCCTGTTGATTACTTCATTCCCTATCACCTTCATCTCGTCTTATTTCCCTAACTGCTTCGTACCTGAGGTCGTTCCTGATCTCTTCTTCTCACAAACTGACTGAATGTGGCCTGTTGCCCAACAAAAGAAACACTTCACCTGCTATGTGACACTCCACGTAACCTGTACGATCTGAGGTCCTACTTTGGCGTCCTAGTACGTCTTCTGCCGAGATTCCCTATTACACTCCTTACTTTGTGAAAACAGCATTACTTCTGTAGGAGCTGCTATTTCTCTTGCGGCTTCACTTGTGTTCTCAATAGTTGTAGCTATTTTCTGGACCTGAGCCACAAAAGGATCCTCCAGCTGCAACGCTTCCATCCTCACTTTATCCTCCGGGGTTTGTTGCACCATCATGTCTTTAACTATAGACCGATCATAAGATAAACCGCAAACACACTTGAAACCACACTCCCTTGATAAACATATCAACTCAGTTATCTATTCTTTGTGCGAGTTACCTGGCTTGATCCTGCTTTTGAAAAAAACTGTCTTGTCGCCACTGCGACTTCAAAATGCAAAGATAATTTTCCCATCAAATGCGGGAATTCCACTTCCTCCACTCTCTTTAATGGAAACGTTTCTGCAGTAGTTCATATAATTTACTGTCCGAGATGCTCAGAAAAAAAAGCTCTTTTGTTTACCTCATCCGCGACGCCATGATATAAAAAGTGCTGGTTCAACCTAGTGTAATACGAAGTTCATACCTCTTTATCCGGTTCAAATTTTGGAAACCTGGGCGCCGAATGCGATCGCGGCTGTTGTTGCCGTTGCTCCGACTGTGAGCTTAACAACGATTGTATTGATTCGAGCAACATCTGATTCTGCTGCTACTGAAGCATTTGTTGCTCTTGCTGCTGCTGTAATGCCAAGATGTGCTTTCAAATCTTCTCCATAGCTTTTGCTCCACTCTTGTCGCCAGTTAGAACTGTTGTGTATTACGATTACAGGAATAATCAAGGAGGAAAGCACAACAGTTCGTACACTTAACTGTTTTTATTTTTCCATCAATCCACGAATAACGAGGTACAAGCCCCAATCCCGTCCTTCCAGAAGATGTCCCAATTCTCTGCGCAGTTCAACCAAGCCTCCAGAGAAATCAACGTAACTTAGCACAGTACTTCACCGCTGTCCGGGCCACAATGTCGCACTACCACTTGCACCTACGATTGTACTCTCCCGGCCTGGATGGAACTTTGTTTTACAGTTCTAATGCCCGCGGAGCGAGTCCTGGTCTTCTCTTAACTTGCCCGGGCGAGTAGCAAAAGAAGTGGACTGCCGTGTCACGTTCCAGTCAGCTGTTCGCCCGGCCGTCGCAGTTGACCTACCACCTCAACTCTCATACTGCCGAGCGCCGTCGGCAGGGTCGCCACGCTGCGCCACGCTGCGCTTGACATGCCGGGCGGGCGTCAACGCGCTTCTGCGCCCCGCAGGGCTGTCGCGGCCACCAATGCTATGCTATAGCACGTATGTATACACGAAAGTAACTAGTAGTGCTACAGAATGGCACAGACTTTCCCGTATTAGTTTTCTATTTCCTTTGGTCTCGGCAAGCTATACGAACTTGTCACATATTCTTGTCAGCTACTACTACCGCCACCCATTTTTTGACATTTTCTATTTTTTCGCTTTCCTTATTGTAGAATGGAAATATTATTTTAATAATATCAAAGAATAGTAAAACCTCGATATAAATGGCAATTTTCTTTCAAAACTTTTGAGCCGTTCTTAAGAAAATGGCGCCTATGCTCTATTGTAATTTCGAACTTTGAAGCCCTTTTTTCACAGAAATTTATTGAGTTTTCGAAAAACTGCATTAGAAGTCATTTAAGGCACTTTAACTCACAATTTTTATAGTGTTTACAAATTTCTGGAAATGTGCATATTAACGGTGTGAGTGATATTACAAAGAAATCACATTTGTGTAATTTTTTAGAAAACAAAAAGCGATCTTCACGTCATATTAAAAAGTGCGATTAGCACTATCCGTTCAAAAAGTTTGAAGAAATAATTTGGAGCCATTTTTGAGAAAATGTTTGAGCGTTTCCAGAGAAAACGATTGAATTTTCGAGGAACCTTAATTGACACTATTTAAATACTCATAAATGCAATAATGTGAACAAAGTGACGCTATTATAAATATTAACGACATGAGTGACAAATAAAAAAATTATATTTTTTGTAACTTTTGAAAAAACAAAATGGGAGTAATATTGCATTTCATAGACTGCATTTAGTACAATCCCTACCAAAAGTTTAAAGAAACAATTTGGAACCTTTTGGAGAAAATCTTGTATTTGTAATTTTTTTATTTGCACAAATGGCACGCGATATTGTGCGAAAACTACGATTTTTTTTTAAAAAATGTACCTGACCTTAATGAAAGAACAAATTATGGACAACAAATTTAATTTGAAGGAAAAATCTCTAATTTTTAATTTTGTAGTTGTAGGAAGACACCGAAAAAAATTCAAACCTTTGAAATTTTCGAAAATTTAGAGTTAACCGTGAAAATCAGCCCTATACCACCTTTATAAATGTATTTTACTGTATTCTTACAAGAAATTTAAAGAAAATACTTGCAGCTATTTTTGAGAATATTTTGAAAATGTCTCAGGGTCGTTTTCAAAATCGCAGAGCTTCAACTCAGGCCAAATGGAGATGGGTTTCTTCAATTTGGAAAAAATCCTACGCATAGTTTAGGCGCTAGTGTTGTCCACAAACACCAGATAGACGAACGGACGGCCGTTTTGAAGAAAAACAACACCACTTTTTCGGTGACAGGGGATCCCAAAACGTGTATTTCCCTTGAAATCTCGAAATCGATTTTCCGCGGCATACATAACTTTCCCTACACTACGTTACGGGAAAGCAAAATCAGTCCATCATTTACGGAAAAAATAAAATCCTTATAGAACTGGACATAAATATCTCACTACATTATATCTACTCTTATAAAATATATTTCATCCATACTTCATTGTGCTGAAACAATGGGCGCGGTCGGCCTCGTGTTCCACGAAACAGAACTCTCTCGTGGGCCACGGGTCGGCCTATGGTGACGTCATACCCATAACCGCGACGATGGCGGACATGAACGTGGTAACCGTAAAAGGAAATGGGTGGTGCCAAGAATAAGGTCGACTGCGGTCGGCGCGATACAGCCATACAGCTTGATTCGCTAACTTTGCGTCATTTCATTTGAGGTGTTGAAAAGTCTTTCGTTTTCACTAATTAGATCTTGTGCTAGAGGTAAGTAGGTGTCATGTTATTCGTAGATACTGTGCACTGTACATTTTATAATTTAAAAAATCTTATGACATAAAATTAATTAATTTGGAAAGGAAAGCATTGCACCTATTATTGTCCGTTAAAATTATTTGTAAGTAAATACAAAGCATTTTAATTTTTTCGATGTAAATGTTTAAAATTAGCTCAGAAGAATACCACCTACTGTAACTTCACTACTCTCTTTTTATACATCTCTTCTCTTTTATTTCCAGCGACAGCTTCCATAAGTAAGCGGGTGTGCTTCGACGATTGTATTTTTATAAAAGTCACAAATGCCTGGGTAAGCATTTATGTGAAATATATTCCCAAATGCTCATGAACAAATGTTACTTTATGAGAGGTAGTTGGTTAAACTATTATGCTTTGAAGAAAGCAAAATGTCAGTTCTCACCTGCCCAGTTATCTCAGCAGCACTGTTTGAATTTACAAGATAACAGGTTTAGATAAGATATAAGTTGTTAGATGTTGACTCCTGGGCCCTGTGTGCTGTCAGTCTTGCAAATGTTACCAATGTAGAACGTGTCTTTATCCAATACAAATCATGAATCGTTCCCAAAATCTTGGCATTGCTTCAGCTTTGCTTGAGTTGGAACACAGTGAATTATATGCAAGACGATTCAATGCTTCAAAAGATAAAGAAATCGAGGATTTAGTGGACAATTCTATTCAATCTGACAATGATTACGAAGAACTTAATTATGGAACCAATATTGAGCGTTTAGTAATTGAATTAGAAAATTCTTCATACTATGAAAAATCACGTCCAAAAACAGGGTCTTTCGTATCAAAGGAAAGAAATGTTCCTTCAAATTATCCCAAGGGAAATAGGTAGTTTAGTAGGGTATATTAGATATGTTAGACAATAATCAGAAATGAGATATCCTGATTGTGTTGGAAACAAGTACTTCAATAATTTTTTTTATAATTTGTTTCAGAATCGATATGTCCCTTGACAATATGTTCTGCTCCCGTTGTGGAGATGGATTTGAACCTCATGAAAAAATTGTGAATTCGAATGGTGAATTATGGCATACACAGTGTTTTGTGTAAGTTCCATATACATATTAATTAATTTTGTTCTGAATGAAAATCATATATTAATGTTGTTCATTTTTGAAGGTGTGCTCAGTGCTTCAGACCTTTCCCTGAAGGTATATTTTATGAGTTTGAGGGGCGAAAATATTGTGAACATGATTTTCATGTGCTCTTTGCACCTTGCTGTGGTAAATGTGGTAAGTGTATTTATATTTTTAAGGATGTCAAACTTTTGTTTCTTTAATATTTGTTGCAAATTAAAATATCCAAGAAAAAAGTGTTTTGAGAAGTGATGCACGATGCATGAAAATGTTTACAAGATAGGCATTGTTCTGTTATTAACATTTTCAACAATTGGCACAATTTTTATTGTGTTATGGTTCTGTTCATAAAGTTCAACATTTCAATTTTTAGACTGGAACTCCTGTTTAATTTCATTTTGTTTCTTGAAAGTTTTAGGGTAATTTACATTTAATTTTGGTGAACTTTGCTTAGTGCCTCTTGTGCAAAATCAATTAGATTGGGGAAGATTATGCTTGATTTAAGTTTGATGTAGGCCACTTAAGGTTAGAGAAAGTCTGAAGGGGTAATTAATGAAACTGAGAAAAGTATGACTAAACTATGTAAAGATATATCTGGATGAAATAATGGAAGTGTATGTACTATATAAATTTAAGTTGACAAGATAACTTCCAATATTTCATTCTCAATTAATGTTAACACCTTCACATCAACATATCTGCCTACTTCATGAAAGGAGAATGTAATTGTGTAGAAATCATAAATTTTAAATAGTGGAGGTGAATAGTTTTATAATTAGTTTTATAAGGATTATTACTGTAGTAATTGGAAATGAAATTTTAAATGTGTTCATCTGTAAAATTTTCCTTAATTTTTCACATTTGTTACTAGGAGAATTTGTGATTGGTCGTGTAATCAAAGCCATGAATGCAAATTGGCATCCACGATGTTTTCGATGCCAAATGTGTGATAAGGAGCTGGCTGATCTTGGTTTCATTCGAAATCAAGGTCGGGCTCTGTGTCATGAATGCAATGCAAAAGCCAAAGCTGTGGATCTTGGAAAATACGTGTGCCATAAGTGTCAGTAAGTATATGTTTAGGATATTATGTCATTTTTCTTTTTTGTGCGGGTGTTGTTCAATGCCCAGTTCTTAAGAAATGTTAAAATTTGTTTCTTGTATAAATTAAATTAACATCATGTGTTTCACTACATGCTCATTTGATTAAAATTTTAAAATAAAAAGCATATGAGATGAACAAAAATAACTAGTAATGATAAAAGTTTGATATGAATATCATACGAAACCGATATCACTTTTAGCCAAGAAGTGCTAAAAGTGAGTGTGTTTCATTTTGATATTTTATTCATTGTGTTTCATTCAATATTTTATTTATTATGGCACTGGAGTCGTTTTTATTTAATTTTATAATACGTTACCTTGCAGCTAAACCTTAAATGCATTTGTTTCATCAGTAATAGCTTTTCTTTATTTTATTGATTTGGCATTTGTTGTAATCAGAAAATTGTGTTGTTATGAGTCTATAACAGCATGAAGGCATTAAAAAGCTCGCAAATGAACGCTAATGCGAGTGCTGTTCAGCTGTTAGCACTTAGATAAATGTATTTTAGGTGCATGATAAAATTTTACGTACACTGTATGTTCATGAAGTAGTCCCATTATCCAGAAATCATGTGAACCAATCTTTGAATCTTACTTTCATTTTATTGTTTGTTTTTCATTTTTCTAAAAGATGCTTAATGGAAATTAAAATTTACGTTGTCAGGACTAATTCATTGAAATGCTGATTTTTCATTTTTAGAGCTTGCTTATGTTGTTGTTTTTGTGAAAGGAATTCCATTGTATGTAAAGATAACTTGAATTAAACAAAAGTTATTTCCTTTAATGTTAATTCTTTTGATAGGCCAAATACAATTTAATTAGAATTTGGCCCCCAATTAAGATAAACAATAAGAAAAATTATCACGAGTTTTTTTTTTCATTCCATTCCTTATTTGAAGTAGTTTTTGCTCCTTCCTAATGAAAAGGTCCCTTGAGTGATGTAATTGTTTTATTCACAAGATTTGATCGGATTTAATTTGAGAAATTGTGGATATGCATTCTTTTCAGTGGCCTCATTGACGACAAACCATTACGATTTCGTGGAGAAGTATATCATCCCTACCACTTTAATTGTACTGCCTGTGGTGTGGAACTGAATTCTGATGCCAGGGAAGTACGCAGTAGACCTGGTTTTGCAGCAAATGAAATGGTTGGTTTTGAGTTAATATTGTATTAGAACATATTTACAACATAATTACTGAAAAATAAAATACAAAATGGGCTAAGAAAGATAAAAATAAAATGCATTTTTTATGCAGAATGAATTGTACTGTTTGCGTTGTCATGATAAAATGGGAATCCCTATATGTGGAGCTTGCAGACGTCCAATTGAAGAAAGAGTTGTAACGGCTCTTGGCAAACATTGGCATGTTGAGGTAAGACCTAGTTGAATGCTCAGTTACTTATTAAAAGTTCCATTTGTTAATTTTTTTTAACATCAGTCAAATTTTATGTAATTAATGAATTATTTTTGATGTTAAATGTGTTGAAAGAAGAAATAACAATTTTTAATTTACTGTATAATTTTCACAATAAAATTGCTGACTTTCCTGAACATTTTTGGAATCATAATAACAGTATGGGTAACTGCAAAAATTCTTGATTATGAAGGATTTATTGTTTTGCAGCATTTTGTTTGCGCTAAGTGCGAGAAACCTTTCCTTGGTCATCGACATTATGAAAAGAAGGGTCTTGCCTACTGTGAGACACATTACCATCAATTGTTTGGTAATCTTTGTTTTGTATGCAATCAAGTTATTGCAGGAGACGGTAAGTGTTTTTAATTTTGTAATTGGAATTTAAAAACTTGACTTTATATAATACTAACAATTCCAAGTATTAAGTTTGTAATTGGGAACCGCAAAGATACTTGAAGCCCTCCTTCAAGAATGTTGCATAGAACACTTTCATAATTTGTTACGAAATAAAGAAAACTTTTAATTCTAATGTGTGGAATTAAACATGATACATTATGCACTATAGAAGAATGATATATAGATTACAATTGAATCAACATGAGCAGAAATGGAACAAGTCTACAATACATTAATTTATTTTTTTAAAGTTTTTTCTTTAAGGCAAGGCAAATTATAAGGAATTGTGTCGTTGCTGTATTTAGGCTATGAATTGAAAGATGGAGGTAGATGTCGGTGATGTGATCCCTTCCTTCGAAGTACATGTTCTGTTACTCCTCAGTATTATTATTTTGATTTTGAATGTTTGATGTGTACTGTGACATGCATGCATACTTTGGAGTATCTATGGTATAGCAGACTCGGCACAAGCTATGGGAACCACTCACAGCGGCACTATTTAGAGTAAACCCGCTACAACAAATAAACCTAATTTGAAGTATCCTGAAAGGGATGCAAATTTTATGCTTGCCAGGGGCTCCTGAACACCTAGATGCACCTCTGCATGCATGGTATGCAATACTATTTTTTTTAATTTTTAAAGAAAATTTTTAACTTAAGGTTCGGCAAACCTTAAGCGGATGTTTCCTCCAAATATGAAGTACTTGAAACAAAAATTAAGAGTGCATTTTTGTGTGAGAGCACTAATCGTGCACCAGCATCTGAACTTCATATCCATTAATAAAGAGCTGATATATTTTATAAATCAATGCAAGAAGCTAGAGAAAATTGAGCCGTTTGCTGGTCCTTTTTATCCAAACTCTTTACAATATGTAATTTGTAATAAATTTAAGTAAAAGATTAATTGTGTTGCTACACAAATATTTATTTTGTTGGATAAATAAATGTTCTAAATAAATATAATATTCTTAAATAGTATTAAATAAAATTTATTGCACTTACAATTTCAGTACCCAGTTTTCTTAACTCTATTCTGACACTAAGGAGGAAGGAAACATGTCAATAACAATTGAACCCAAATTCTGATCCCATAAAGTTGTTTAGTAGAAAGTTCTTTAAAATACAATTTACTGCTATCTCATTGATGCCACCAACGGAAAAAAAAGAAGAAGAAGAAAGAAAAAAAGAGGAGGGAGAGAGAGACTGGATAATATAAAACATATGCATGTTTCCTTCCACCTGAAAAGTTGCAAAAAATTACTCATTCCCTTTATCGTCAACCCAATTAAATTAGGTTATACCGTTGCTGATATATTGTACGACCTTCATTCAGTGCCAACTCAAAAAGTGTGATACTGTGTTCTTTGAAGGAGGCCTTCAAATATCAAATTAGCTGTAGCATATTTTCTTATTGTAAATGTTATTGTGTATCTGAAGAATGTTCGGGATCATGTGATTGGGTCACAGTTAAATTCAAAACATTAGCACATTGAAATGTGTTAATAGCTAACTGAAATTTGCCTACTTTTGGAATATTCAATTCCATCATCAGGACTTATAAACATGTTACATAATTCATCCTTCCATCTCCAACACTACTTCTTTATGCGAGTTCATTTTCACATGTCACATAACCAAGTAGTGTTGCTTATGGAATGAGGAGTTGTGTAATCCTTTTATAAGTAAGCCCTGAAGTTAATTATATATTCTGAAAAGTCAGCAAACTGAAATGTGTTAATGTTTTTAATTTACTTGTAACCAAATCCCAGAACATTCAATTCTCTTAGATGGTTGTGAATTTTTCTTCAATGTAATCTGTTTTAATTTAACTTTGTATGGTTTTCTCTTTTCAGTATTTACTGCAATGAATAAAGCATGGTGTGTTCACCATTTTGCCTGTTCGGTTTGTGATCAGAAAATGAATCAAAAGACAAAATTTTATGAATTTGATCTGAAGCCAGTATGCAAAAAATGCTATGAAAAGTTTCCAAGTGAGCTGAAACGTCGACTTCGCAAAGCCCATGAGCAGACCCCAAAGAAGATGCCACTATAAATCTTGTACTTTTACAAAACCTGTTTTTTTTTTTCTCCTATCCCTTCCCATTTAAAATACATCTTTTCCATCTAGACTAGTGTGGTTTTCAATGGTGTATAGACAGAAATATACGTTAGAGAAATAAAGAATGTCATGTTTATTTGGCTCAGTCTTGTTCAATTGAGGGTTTTTATCTGCATATGGTGATATTCTGAATGAATGATCGTACTACAATTTGCCTTTGCTCTTAAACAAGTAAAGATTGTATGGTTGTTTCACACTTGCTGTTGCTTAAGGATATTGCAGTCCAAATACTTACTGTTGGAAATTATTGTAGTTTGTGTGATTTCTGTTATCTCTGCAACAAATGCCCCAAATATGTTCATTTTCATTCTCTTTTAAATGTTCAAGTGATTCAAAAGAAGCAGAGAAGTCAAATCTGGTTCAAACTATTGAGCCTAATATATCACATTTCTTTGTATTTATCTGTAATGTCTTTGTAGCGTTGCTTGAAGCACATCAACATAACTTGTGTGGCACAGGTCTAAATTGATGATATATGTCATAGTTGTCAGTCTCGTTCTCTTGGTGGATTGGTCCCCTATAATTATATATAAAGCTATAAAGGATCGAGGTTCATCATATTACTAAAAATAATTGTGATTTTCAGATTTTATATAAATAATCCCGATTTGAAATATTGGTCCAAAATGTCTTTTAAACCTTGGCCCATGATCTATCAAAATATCACTCATAAGTAAGTCGGCACCAACTGAACAATTAAAATAGTTCCAAAAGATTTCAAATCATCCAACTAGTCCTATCAATTCCTAGTGAATGTTATAAAGTTGTGAGCTTCCAAATAGTTAATTTACTTTTCTGTATTTTTATTTCCCAGTTAAATTTAATTTGTGTGCGTGTGTAATTTTAAAAGTTATTTCAATATCCAAATCATGCAATGCTAATCTGTTCAACTTAAAATTTGCCTGTTTAACAGCTTAGCAAATATTGCCAATTTTAAGTCTTTTGGATTTTTGATATTTAACTTCAGATGTTGTTTCAAGAAAAGTGTTTATTGAAAAGCATTCGTTTTTATAAGCTTAGTAAAATATAAATTTTCATAGACCACATTCCTAGGAACTGAACATATTTTGTCTGAATGTTTATTTGAAGATCATAATTGAATCATAAGGTGCTTGAGACTTATATTGGAAGTTGTGTGTTAAAATAGATATGAATGTCTTACATGAATTTTTTATACCATTTTAATATTGGGTTTTTCAGTTCCAGATGATATAATAAACATTATTCATATATTGGCATTTCAAAAAAATTACAATTTTGCAGAACTTTGTTTAAAGGTTTGTTTTATGTTGTACTAATTGAAGGAGTTGGTACCAACCCACATGTCTGTAAGTTTTACTCCACCAAAGAAAAAACGTTGTAGTGAATATATTTTTAGGATACATTCTAAGATCTTCGTTTTGGATTTATGAAATGTGGGTTAGCTATATTTGGCCAGCTCAAATTAAATATATTATTAAGTAACTTAGGGCTGTATTCTTTGAGCAACCTTTAAGTGTTTACTTATTTGTATTTTCAATTCATAGTCGTCATGTGTTTGCTTAAGAATTCACTTATTCTTATAAGTATCCTTAATGGACCCTTATTTTTCAACATGATATAACAAAAGATTTTTATGAGCTTTTGGAATTATTGAAATCAATATGGAAGATCGTACCAAAATAATATTTGAGAGATATGGAAAACCCTTTGGAAATGCATGGGGAACAAGAATCTAAGATAAGAGATCATTTTGACAAGGATTTGGTTGCAAAAATTAGTGTCTCTGTTGCTCACTACAGTCACTTGCTCATTGCTTTGTAGTAATTCAAGTGTAGACTATGAATACAGCTCTTAATGTCATGAAATTATATATTTATAAATGTGTTTTAATATCAAATACCATTTTGCACTTTTGCAATTGTATATTTCATTCTCATTTTAATTATAATGAACTAAATATAAAATCGAATATTGTTGTAATAATATTTAAAAATATTCTGTGCAGACTTACTTACTAGCTAAGTGCTGGTCATGCTTGGTGATTTCTTAATGTATCTGGTGTTTTGTGGTTGTAACATTTTGTTTCTACCTAAATCTGGTATAATTGAAGCAAAATGTGCTTACTGTTTGAAATTATGAAGATGATACAAATGACTGCTTAGTACTGTGGCTGATAACATGAACATTATACAAAAATAAAATATTATTGAGAAATGTAACTGTATTAAGATATCTAAAATATTAGTTTCTTCTATCTGTATTGAAGATCTGCATTTAAGATAAGTTATGAAGTATACTGTCATGCATTTTTGTTTGAGAGTTCATAATTTTCATTAGAATTTTAGTCATTAAGTGAATGGCAGAGATAATTAATTCTTCCTTATTAACAGATTAAAGATATTATTCTGATATTAGTTTCAGAATGTTCAGTTCTTGGATATTTTTTTTTTAATGTACGATTGGAAGACTGCCTACTTTTTCTGACTGTTCAGCTGGTCTGTACAACAAATATATCATTTATATATTAATTATATACTATGCTATAATTAGACAATTTTTTAGCCTACAGATTTATGTGCCTTACATATTGTTGGTAGGAGAATTGATATTTTAAATTTATGTATTCAACCAAATTTAGTGCCTTGTGCTTGCCTTTTGGGACAAAATAAATGCTTGCTATTGTGTTTGTTAGCTAATGTTAACTAATGAATGTACTATGAATTTTTATCGTATAAAAAAATCATCTAATACATTTTTAATCGTTTTGCAGTTAATTTTTTGTAGATCTGCATTTCTTTTTTTAATTTTTAACATTCTTGCAGACATTTTTTTCAATAATACATGTATATTTTTATAGTGCTGTATGAGTGAATTAAATTAAATATATCGTTCTACTCAACTTTTATTTATAAATATTTAACCTTTATCTTTCCTTTCCTGAAAATAAAACACATTTTATTATTTTCTTGTAAAAGTAAATTTTTGGGGAGATATGCCAAGTACATTTTATATCTCTTTTATCTAGTATGTACAGTATCTGGTTTCCTGAGCAACACAGGTGTGGTTACAGATAAGCAAGGGAAGATATCAGTCAGGTATAGGTTGCCATCATGGACGTATCATATTTAGTGATGAAAATTCTTTAATCCAAATCATCTTCACCATGGATATTTGTTTAATTGGAAGTTAGGGGCATTAGAAAATATTTTATGTTAATGACTTAAATTCTTGATAATTAACGGTACTCTGGATTATTAACTTGGTCTGTTGTGAATAAAAATATTTTTGAAATTTTGAGGAAAATCTATTGCTAGTTGGTACTTGGCAAGTGTACTGTTGATCTGCTTCAAGGTGCACATAAATAATGGCCAATAGTGAAAGTGAAAGAGTACTTTCATATACAAGGTTATATCCTGATGAATCTCCTATGATAATGTATGTATTAATACTGCGATGGCTCTTTTAGAGTTGGCGGTTACAGATAAGAAATATCTTTTTTATAAGCATATTTTCAGGAATCGACATATGCCCACATCTCAAGGTTCAAGTTCTCATATTGCAGCCCCTATTGCAGCTCCTTCAGAACATTATGTTAGAAGAAGAAATGTTTCCAAGTATACATCAGCTCTTCGTTCTTTAATTCCTTTCCGACGCAAGACCTGGTATGTTTTTAGATAGGGTACTAGGTTCAGATCAAATAAAAGGTGCATCTTATGAAAAGATTATCTTTGTTAAAAAATAGTATTGTTATTTTTGCTCAAGAAAAATCTAAAAATGTTTAAAACAATTTAGAAATACGTTTATACTTAAATGAATTATTTTAAAATGTTAAAGAATAGTCAGTAAATTATTTTCTGTAAAGATTGAAATGATTTTGTTTCTACATTATTAACTTTATTTAAAATTTGATAGCATTTGTCTAGCACACCTGACGATGTTGAATTAAACATTCAAAATCTTTCTATTAAGGATGTATTTTTTTATTATTGCTTGAACTACTTTTGAGGAAGGGTGAATATTCATTCTTTTTGCAGTGAAAGAACTGAACTTCCCTTGGATGATATTGGATTTTTTGCTCTAGTAACTTTTAGTTGGATGGCAGTTTTTATAAAAAAATCTCTTCCCAGCGAGTCTTTGACAACTGCCAAATTAGATTCTTCTAATTTGAATGGACAAAGGTAAGTCAATGGGAAGTAATTTCATTTGTTCTTTTGTCAAGAAAAATATTTCTTTTGCTCTTAGACTGAAAGATTTTCTTCGGGATGAAAATGTCAGAAGAGGGCAAACCAACGCAAGGATGATGAGAACTGCATGGCGATTTGTGCAAACAAGAATAATAGTTTCTTCTATTATATATACATTAGGTAGTGCAATGTATATAATTGGGTTGGTAAGTATTTCATGGAGAGGAACATTAATCTATAATTATGAATGATTTGCTAACAATCAATTTTTTCAGGTCTTTTTTCTTTCGTGGTTTCGCCAAACCCATGAAATTCATTTTTTGCTAGTTTTGGTGTTGATGTGCAGTTCTGCATTGCTGTTACAGTTCTGGAGTGAGAGTATGACTTTCAGGTGAGTAACTGAAGTTATAAGCCACTGTTTGTCAGCATTATTAACAGTTTTGAAGATAAATAGATTCATTTAATTTACAGAACTGCAAACAGACTCCAGTCAGCATTTATGTCTGTTATGTATAAACATTTGCTTCGAATATCAATATTGCATCCTGTCTCTGCTCATCGGGTATGTTCTGTGAATGGTTGATGGAGGTATTTTCTGAATGTGAATTGAGGGCTGTTATGTTTATTTTCAGATAGTCACAGCTATGGCAGCAGACAGCCAGAGGGTTCATGATGCAGTAATGTGCTTGCCTGTATTACTGTCCACTCCTGTTATACTTATGTTGCCTATTCCAATGTTATTATTGAAAATAGATTGTGATGTTAGAAGGGAAGACTTTGTATTTGCTGGGTTAATATGTCTCTTAATCACTCCCATTTTGGTAATGTCTGCTTTAATAATCATATTATTGACAATGCCAAAACTTAATTGTCAGAAAAAGACTGAAAAAGGGTTTTTATTCTCTTTGTAGTATCTTTTAGCACGGCTTAGTAATGTGTGGAAGTCTCGTATGTCAATATATACCAGTAAACGTTTAATATCCTTGCAAGAATTACTTCTTCATATACCACTGGTTAAAATGACACTGAGGGAAAAGCTTTTTCACAGAAATGCTGAAGGTATTTCTTTAAACATTTTATGTTAATAAAAATGATGTGAAATACAAATTAAGAATGATTTAATATGTAGATCTTAGAGAAAAAGAATGCCAGTACATGAAAAAAGTTAACCTATGTGATGGATTTACTGTTTCGTTTCTACATATTGTACCACTCGTGGTAGTTATTCTTCTTTGGTATCAGAGAGAAGATATAACTCTGAAAGAGGATGTAACTGTACGCCGGAACTGTAACGCTGATGTGAGTATTTTGGTGAAGCAACACAATTTTATTCAGAATTATTTTTATTCCATTCCACTTTATGTATTAATTGCATGTTTTGCTCACAGTTGACCTCACTCATAATTTTAGTACTCATTCCTTTTAAGGAATTACTGTTTAGTTTTTGGCTTGGAATGATCAATTTATTTGATGGACTAATGGCATTTAGAAGGCTGAAGGTAGGCTAACATACCCTCCCCCTTTTTTTTTTCATCCTTTAACTTTTTATAAAATCATTGTGTTTGCTATTTCATGTCCAGCGTGTGCTAGTATTAGAATGTCTTATGAAAAGAACATCAAGAAAACCTATCAACCATCTGATTGCATTATCAGCAATTGAAGCTACTTATGTCATTCGAAAGCCAAGTACTAGAGGTGTTAAAAGACAATCAAGAAGATGTGACTGTTGCAGGTAATAAACATTTCACTATAGCAGTAATTACATTTGTTACAAGTTCTCTGGAGAGCAATCTGTAATAACAGCAAAACGCTGTACATGCATATTTATGCTTACAACTAATTAAACTGACTTATAAGTGATACAGCCCGTTATAAATTATTCCAACATTACTTTCTCATATACTTAATATAGAGAAAGTTATAAAATGGAGTAGAAAAAGTGTTCATAAATTGATGGAAAAACTGATGTTTTGCGATTTATTTACCTTAAATTTTTCCAAAAGTTTCATTTAGAAAGGAAGGAAAACCATCCTTAAATATGGCCCCTCTAGTGGACTTTTTCCAGTCATAAATGACATTATGCCTTATACTCTTGAACGGTTTAAAGTAGCTGAGATTGAAGGACTGTAGCAAATGTGTGCTAGTAGCAATAAGCTGGTATTAGCGGGCAGTAGCAAGAAGCTGATGTTATGCTTTCCACAAAGTTGTACTACTCACAGAGAAATGTGACTGCTAAGGTTGTCTCCAATAATTACTTTTTGACCAACCTCAATTTTTAAATATAGTTTTGAATCAGTCTATGAGCATTGGTAGGTCAAACCGTACACTTCTGTTACGATTGTAGTTCACACCAGAAGGTCCTCCTTCTTTCCATGTGGTCTACATATTTTCTGCTTTGTACTTTGTACATGGTGATTAAAGTTCTCCACTACCTGAGGGTACACCATTACTGAGAAGCTTGTTTCTGGTTAGTCTATCTTCACTCCTGTTTTCACAATTAGGTTTTACCTGCCTGGATCCTCATTGAAATTTGTTTCATCAAAATTCAAAATATTATCTGAAGGAACGCCATTCAAAGTTGCTTCAATGATAAAAACATACTTCTTGATGATTTTCTAAGTTATCTCAGCCTGGGCACTCTTAAGTTTTTCACTAAGACAAACACTAAAGTGTTCAAGAGTGCCTTCTTAGAAGCTGTACAACTCACCACACCAGGTAGATTATTTACAAACCATTTCGCTCTCTTGACAGATCACAAAAACATTTTTCTATGTATTTTATATCTACAGATGTCAGAGGAAACCCTTATTGAGCAGCTTTCATAATTCCATTTATTAGAATTTTTTCTTCATCATTACTCAAGACATACTGTCCATCTGGATGGATGATTGTTCTTCATTTTGCCTTATAGGGTTGATGTCGAATTTCCATATCTTTTGGCAGCAATCCTTTATAACAAGCAACCAGCAAGACAATAGGCATAACGGCAGACCAGATCTCCGACTGCTGTAGTTTACATAGGGGATATGGAGGAATGCAAATAGTCACATTGCTACTGGGTGAAAAGGTAGCCCAAAAGCTCATAACAGCAGGAAAAATTAAAATCGGCTGGGTGAACTGTGGAATCAGAGAACAGGACCAGATATTAAGATGTTATCGATGCTTAGGCTTCGGACGTATCTCGACTCCTTGCAGAGGTCCCGATTGAAGTAAAGTATGTTACAGATGTGGCAAAACCGGACATGGTGTCAAGGATTGTACTGGTAAACTGAAGTGTGATATATGCAAGGAGGGAAAGAAAGACTATCATCTGTTAGGATGTAATCAGTATACCTCCTTCATCATGGCGTTCAATAAAGTCAAAAAGAGAAAATATGCTCCGATTCCTTCAAGTTAATTTGGGTAGGAGAAAACAAGCGTGGGATTTGATGCTGCAGGTAGCTGCAGAAAGGGAGGTTGACGTTCTATTCGTCAGCGAGTAACCTCACTGCGACATGTGGTATCAGGATGCTACTAGAAGAGCCGGCATAATAATATGTAATAAGAAGCCGAGTATCACGGAACACAATAGAACGAAATACGGGTTTGTATGGCTGGAAGTGGGCAATATGAGATATGCTAGAATGATTTGCAATAATGATACACTAGAAAAATGTCAGAAAGATCGATGAGCTGGAGGCTAGCATGAAAACGTCTAAGTGCGAGGTATTAGTGGCAGGTGATTTCAATAGTAAGTCGTCCGAATGGGGAGAGACGCGCTCCGATAGAAGAGGAACTATCATATGTGAATTCATTGCAAGAAATGATCTGATCATCTTAAATATTGGGGATGAGTACATCTTTCAACGTGGAGCCGCATCATCCACTTCGGATTTGACAATAAGCTCCACCAAGCTAGCTACGCTCCACGAAGCTAGCGATCATCGCTGATTGGTCAGTGCTCGACGAAGAAACCCTAAGTACATCGGATATTCGACTCCATTAACGGAGGGCCGCAACATGTCAAAATGCGATATAAAGGAAGACCACCTTGGAATTCCCAAAAATTGAATGAAGACAAGGCAAAACGCTCTTTGGAAGAATCCAGGTTGCTGGTTAACATCGGTTGGACGAAAGAGGCGGAAACGCTTGAGGATATGGTCAAGGAAACGGAGGTAATAGTGGTAGCAGCTTGCGACGCATCCATGCGTATATGTCCGAGGAGGAAACAGCAAATGTATTGGTGAATACCGGAAATAGCTGAACTACGAAGGAACTGTATTAAGACAAGAATAGCGACAAGAGCCGAGACGAATCTGCACCTCAGGGAACAGTATAAAGATCTGTCCAAATGGCTTAAGGGAAAAATATAAAGACGTAAAGGCAGATGTTGGAAAGAGCTCTTCGAACAGATAGATAACGACCCATGGGGCATGGCTTATAAAATAGTAAATAAATTCAGGATGGACTGGAAGATACCTGGTTTGAATGATCCACAAAGAATGAGGAAAGCTATTAGGGACCTCTTTCCCACTAGAGATTCCTGCACGAGACACAGAGCGACTTCACGGTTGATGCAGCAGACTACTTCATGATAGACGAACTGAGAAGAGCGGCGAAAATCATGAAAACTGGAAAGGCCCCAGGTTTCGATGGAATTCTCTGTGGAATACTAAAAATAGTGGCTCAGGAGTATCCGGAATGCCTTTTGTCAATCTATAACCGCTGCCTTGAGGATGGGAAATTCTTCAAGATGTGGAAGAGACAAGCTGATACTCCTCCGAAAGGGCAACAAGCCGGTAGATCAGAAGTCATTATACAGACCACTGTGCCTCCTTGATGCCATGGGCAAGCTGCTTGAAAATTTAATATTTTCTAGCTTGAGGGGATAATATGCTTTTCTCACAGGCAATATGAATTCTGAAGAAGCCGCTCGACGACAGATGCCATCCTGGAAGTAATCGAGAAAGCAGACGCAGCCAAAAGAGGAGTCGGCAAGAAGAAGGGATTCTGCGCGCTCTTGGCAATTGACATTAGAAACGCCTTCAACTCCGCTAGGTGGAAGGGCATTGTAGAAGTGTTAGTTAACAAGATTATTCCGGAATATCTCATAAGGATTATTGAAGACTACCCACAGGAAAGGACGATAACTTATGTGGACAGTATTAGAAGAGAATGTGATGTGCGGGGTTCCTCAAGGGTCCAGACTTAAGCCATTTTAATGGAATGACCTGTATGATAACATTCTAAGCATTGACTGCCGAAAAATACGCAGCTCATAGGCTATGCTGATGATACGCTAATAATAGCAGGAAAGCAAACGATACACAAGAATAAAAACTGATTTGCGACTTTCGTCAGCGAAATGTACAGTCTCTGAAAAATAATCGCTGGATATAGAAATATTACTTGGGGAGAAACTCAACACATTTTAGTATTGTGTCTTCACATAACACTGGCTAACTAAAGAACAATTAGTAACAACATATTATACCAGGTTTCTCTCTAGCCAGTAGCTCATGTCGAAATATTAACACATGCATCAAATGCATATGGTGGGACATGCATTTATTAAAAATACAATTAGTTTTTTACCTACACAAATCACACTTATCTGGTAAAAGAGAAAAACTTTGAATATCCATCACTGATTTTACAACATAAAAACATGGGTATTATGCACATATGCAGGCCTGGCTGGAATTTGAAAACCTTTTTAAAAATCTGGAGTTATCTAACAAACTTCAAAAACCAGACAGTATAAAACTATTCTTGTGGTGACTTCATATAAACTGCGCCCACACAATCCAGTAATGAAAATCTTTTTAAAGACCTATTAAAATCATACAATTTAAACAAACCATAAATCCAACGAATATCCAAAAATAGTAGCACTGCTATAGATCAATAATAATAGATGCAAATAACCATGTGTTTTCTGTTGCTACATTTAATACAGGTTTCAGAGTACACATTGCCCAGATCCTAAACTTCCAACAGAACACAAAACTGGGAACAGACAACTTACAAAAATCCGTAACTATTCCCAAGGAAAAATATAAATTTCAAAACTGCTCAGATTTGAAAACTGGAATGAAGTATATAAGGCAATCGATACAAATGATAAGTTTAAATCATTCATAAATATATACTAAGAATTTTATGCCATTTTCTCAAACTGAAGATCCAAATAAGAAAACTTAATCATGGTTACCCAGGCATCAAAGTGTCATGTGAAAGAAAATGCAACATGTTAATATTAACAAATAACAAATGTTATCAACTTTATTTCATATTAAAAAAATATCAATCCTAAAAAAGTAATCAACAAGCAAAATTAACAAATGGATAAGTACGTACAATTGCACGTGAATAAACAAAAGCCATGTGGGATATTAAAAAGACTACAGCACCAACTAATATAACAAAAAAAAAAAACATAGAGCTCCACTGCAAAAACGAAACTGTACAAGACCCACAAGAAATACTGATGGATATTCAATGAACACTTTTCACAAATTAGTTTTAGTTAATCTCTCAACACTCTCTAAACAATAAAACACACCAAACAAACACTAATATTACACAGATCGTAAATGTAATATTTTTATATGAAACCACCCCTCTGAATTTTTAAAATATTGCGACAAAGGAATAATTTCATTCAGCGGGGATGAAGACATTCCGAGTTCTTATAACGATGGGTGTCATGGTGTAGTGGACCACTTCAGCTCACATCTGCAATCTCTCTAG